CAAAATGTGAGATTTTTAGGTCCAAATTATATAATTGACAATTTCTAAATTCGTAGTTAACAATTTTATTGGTCAAAATCGTGTCCTAATTGAATTGTATTAAGAGTTTGTCAAGTTGTAATCAAAGTCAAAATAGGAGTTACTGAGTCCTAATTATAGTACAAAAGTTTGGAGTTGGTAGTATAGTCATTGGAGAAGTAAATAATGTTCCAGAAGATCATGTATGATCATTGAAATGCAACTATAACTCAAAGGAGTGTCAAAGTGTTGCACACGTTTTGCTCCAAATTCTTAGACACAAATTGCGACGAATTTCTCACATAGAAAGCACTTGAATTTGAAAACTGCTATAAAAGAATTGTATCCATTTTAATTAATTTTCTAATGCACTTTGAATAAACTCAATCAAATATCGGGAGAGAAAGTTATGAAAGAAATACTGACAGCTACCCAGCTATCGCTCGCCTGGCGCTCGAGCGACGAGTTATCCGAGAAACGGTAAATTTTAATTTTCAAGTTGATTTTAAACTCCTTTCCACCACAAGCACTACCTATCATAAATATACACCATATGGGACGTCTAAAAGTGTGTTGATCTATAATTATTTCATAGAGATCATTCATTTGAAAATAAATGTACATCCTATAGAACATCCAAAAGTGTGTTAAATCATATTTATCCATAGAGATCATTCATTTGAAGATCCAAAACACTTTCATTGATTTCTAGATTCAACCAACATATTATTTGATTCATAGATTCATCTAAACTTAGATTTGTTGATCGCTCTATAAAGATTCTACATATAACCATAGATTAAAACACAAGATCTTTGATCAAACATCAAACCTACATTTGCCAATTAGCCTTCAAAGTTGCTGCAGTTTTGAGAAAAGAAGCTTGAGGTTTCGGTGCTAAAGAACGAGACTTGTTATTGGATGTATACAGGAGATAAACGGTACCAAGGGGCAGAAATTGGTTAGTTAGGTCTGGACCATACTATAAGTCTCATCGTTTATAATGAATTGATGACTAGCGAAGTGTCCAAAGTTTTTGATCATTTGCGAAGAGTTTCCCCGTGATCATATCGATGTTATTTACTGCTTTTGATTTACAAACTATGATATTCAAATTTAGTATAAATTGACTTGGTTCACATAGTCATATAGAAACAATTAAAAAGTGACTCATTACTTTTAATTGATTAATTCCACATTTCGGTCTAAATATTCGATAAACATAAGCTTTCAGATTGATTGTAGCCAACATGATGGCTAGTCGAAAACATATCTTGTTATTGTTCTCTTCAAGAGTCTCCTACACAACTTGTAGCATATAAAAATATTATTTTGTGGATAAATGTCTCATAGTTATGGACATTCATTATATGAAGAATATGTCTCATTAAAATTTTATCAGGAAAAACCTTAATAAAGTAAAATGAGTACATTACTCTTTTGAGTACGTTATGAAAGTTGCACCATTAAAAATCTTTCCAAGAAAACCAATAGGACAAAACCTTTATTAAAAGAAGTATAATGCTTGTTTACTCCCCTCACGATAATATCATTTGAATTTTTTTGCTTCAAGCATATTCAATCCTTCAATGATAGTATTAATAGTCATGTCATATAAGTTAATTATAACCATATTATTATACGCAAGTCGAATTTCGCTTATTAGCTGGATGACAAGAAATAGACTTACGATTACATCAACTAAAACATAATTTATCTATTTATATAAGTCTTTACAAAATTCAGTATGTTGAGAGAAGGGTATTACAGCTTACGACTTCATTGTTTCTCATTTATATTTCGCACAAGTGACCTTTAGATTTTTGGATTACTAGTCTACAAATTTTAGGTTTCTCTAGTAAGTTCAGTTTTTCTAGGACTGTGTCCTTTTGTTTGGCCAATCATTTATTCAATCGATAAGCTTTAATGACTTTATTTCGACATATTCAATAAAATTGATATGAAGCGGTACATAATGTACAAAAAGTATCATCGACAAGTTTTTCTTTCGATTCTATTTCTTGATCATAACGACATAAATTATTGAAATTCTCTACTTTTAATATTTCAAGTACTTGAATCTCTTTTGAGGTTTTATAATTAGTTATATCTATATATTTTTAAAAAGTGTAGCCTCTTAAATAGGACAATCTTTCTTATTTGCTCCCTTTTTCTTTTGGAAATTTTTGTTTTAGAATTAAATGTTATCACGCTTCAAGCATACCATAAATTTATCAAATATATTATTAATGGATTGTCCTCCTAGGAAATCAATTCGAATTGGGGTATTTAAACCAAGTTTGTGAGATACTATTAATCTCTTTGATCAATAAATACATCTAAATAAATTATCTTTCAAACTTTTGAATTGAATTATTTTTGCGAGGATCTAGATAATAATAATGATGCATTATGTATTTTAGCTTCTTAATTCGTTCAACTAAAGTTGAGAAAATTATCCAATCAAATTAACAATAAGCAAAACGTATTTTAAAATATCATTCGCAAAAGCTTAAAATATTTTTATAAAGGGCCCAAACAACATATGTATTCTCAGCATTTTTTAATATTAATATCAATACACCGTGGCAAAGAAATTGTACATGTATTGCACTATAAAAAAAAAAAAAAAAGGAAAATAGCAGCGGCAATCCCAAACCTTTCGAGTTTTAGCAGACTTTACCTTAACATTTAGTTTGTACCACCAGATATTCCAAACATTTCAAAATATATGCACCGGAGGTCCAAATGAATGGACCATCCATTTGACCGTTAGTTGACTCAAAAAGTCAAAATTTAATTAATTTTGACCAAACTGATAAGATCAAAATGGTCATTTGCATTTTTCTCATATTATGTAAGTTAAAAAATGAATTAAAAATCTCCTTTCCCATGCCCCGCCCCGCCCCACCAGCCGTCCCGTCGCCACATCTCCTTCCACAACCCTTTGAAATCAACGCCGTCCTCTCCTTACAACCCCTTGCAATCGTCCTCAGTTGGCTGCGAGATCTATCCCTTCCGTATTGCGAGGTGGTGATTGAGAGTACTAATGACAGCAGTGACTGCCTTCGATCATAAGTGTGACTTCTATAGTAGGATGCGAGATCTACCCCTTCCATATCCTGCCATCCATCTGATGTTTAGCTTCTAGAGCATCAACAGGATCCACATACTGGACAAATCCAAAGCCTCGTGGTTGACTGCAAAGCAAGAAAAGTGACTAACGGAAAGTGAAATTACATAAAAGTATTTCACCTAAATGGTGTCAGCCCAAGCCAAAATTTTTGAAGGCTGGAATCCTAGTTTGACAAGAAATAATATAGCAGCTCGATTTTTTGCCAATAGTCTCAATTTAGCAGCTGCTGACCTTTTAATTGCAACTGAGGAAGTTTGCAAAGGGTTGTGAAAGGAGAGGACGACGTTGATTTGGTTTGGGTTTGGTGGCGTAGGGTGGGATGGAGGGGGAGGGGGAGGGGGTTCTCTCCTCTTTTTTTTTTTTTTTTTTCCAGACTTTAGTTTTGTCAAAATAGCGCAGTTACGATTGTCAATTTTAAATTTGGTCAAAATCAATTTTTCTAGTCAACTAACGGTCAAATGGATGGAATCCATCTATTTGGACCTCCGGTATATATTTTTGAAAGGTTTGAGACCTCTGATGGTATAAACTAAAGGTTAAGATAAAGTCTACTAAAACTCGAAAGGTTTGAGACTGCTGCTGCAATTTTTCCTAAAAAAAATCATTAGATGGAAATACTAAGTTCTAAGCATGAGCCAACAAAATTGGGAATCATCTTTTTCTCAACGATAATGATTTTGAAATTAGTTGTAAGCACTTGATAAACAATATTGTTAGATTATTTATCGCCATCTAACTAACTCTTATTAAAATATTGAGATTTTGGCTCACAACATTAACAAGATCACTATCTTTATTGTATAATCTGAAAATTATGTCAATAATTTAAAATTCAAGCAAGTTATCTCGTAAACTCCAAATTGCGAATATATAATAACACCATACAATCATTTAGTAAATACATCTATTAGATATAAATAATATCTAGATGGTCAACATGGAGGGTAATAGAGTCTCATGTATCTACCTAATTAATTTTCAAGATTATAGAAATTTAGTCACAACTTTAACTAGTTGTTGTCAAGCACTGTACGTGAATTCGTTAGATTGAAATTTTTTGATTCTTATTAAATATTCATTTAAATTCTCATTTCGAATCATTATTGATTCAGTAATAGTCTAAGTGAACATGTCAAATAATAAAATATTAAAGATATTGAACTTCTGATTTAGTACAATATTTGTCTCAATTGTACAAACGTTAGTATAGTATACCAATTAAGACACGCATCAAAAACTTTGTGTAAGTTTCTCATTTATTCAATGGATGAACAAATTACTAGCAACAATAGAATTTACATCCATACATTACTTAATATTGACTCTTCTAGAGACTTAATTTAGATTTATAGAACTTTGTATTATATTGGCGTTAACTTTAATCATTCATCCATATCTCTTCAAGGAGTCATTATAAGCTCGATAGAATGATTAAGATACCACAGGTACCCATAATAAGTTAGTGAACTAATGTTCTTTATTACCACCTTTATCTTTAATAAAGGACTAAATAACACAATATCAGTGGGTGATCATTATCTTCATCTAAATTTATCAAGAAATTGACTTGGATTAGTTCTTGTATGTGTACATTTCTCACATTCATAATGCAACAGTATGATCATTTGAGTAATCTTATCCCATGGAATGGAACAGAAAAATGCACCTGTATTTAAATCAATTTCCCATTGAAACATGTAAACATAGTGTAAAGCAAATGACAAGCTCTATAACAAATTCTTCAACACAAATGCCACTGCTTATATTTTTCGGGCTTCGATTTGCATCCAATTGCAGTGAATATGGAGAAAACGACACGAAAATGTGTTCTAACCAATGACACATTCTATACTATTTTCAGTTCTTTGAGCCATGCTGTATGTAATGGACATGGATCCGGTTTGCCTTGAGCAATTGCTTTCTCTGAAAGTGAATAGAACCACCCATTTCTCCACTTGAACTGCAAACATCATGCGTACTAATTATTTCAAACAAATCAAATTCAAACTAATATAGTTCATAGAAATCTGCATTCTTTACCTCTTTAACTGCAGTCGGGAAGTGAGCAACTGCCCTCGAGTAAGCACATAACCTATCCTCCATTGCTCCATCAAAAACTATACCTTTCTCTGCAGCTGCTGCAGCTTCCAGTTCAGTAATAAGAGAAGATACCTGCAACCAAACAGGTTTAGTGCAATAGGTTAGCACTGATCACTACCAAAAGAACTAAGGCAAAAACCAGTTTTGTCAGATTGAATTAGTAGTAATAACAATATAGCTGAAACTAATCTCGTGCTCTGCATTTCATAATATTGTAAGTTGCGAAGGTATATAAATACCTCAGAGCGGTATTCCTTCTCAACGACACCTACAGTTGCTCCAGGATGACGGGCCCCCACGAGCATGAAAGCACATATCCATATAAGCTTCTCCAACATTTGCTTCTGAAATTCACCCTTTTCAAGTACCTAAATTTTCACAACAATTATCTTGATTAATAGAAAACAACAATTCCAAGAAACTCTGCCAAACATAGCATTGGAGAACTTCGGTAGATACTGAGAGCTCAAGCAAAATTAAGACGCTATGAAAGTGGAGTTTTGAAGAATATACTTTGCAAGACAGGCCTCCCGCATGTAATCTTGCAGCAACTGCTGATGCCCACTTCCCGTATGCAGCCGTCAAACCCTCGGGATTGGTGTCGGTTTTACCATCAATTGGGGGTTCACCGAGCTTTGATATTGCAAAATAAGCTAAAACTTGATCTGCATCACCAAGGCCATTACTGTAAAACCACGGCTCCAGCATTCCATTCTGGAAAAACACCAAATCTGCTAGATTGTTAAATTCACCCTGAAGTCTAATCATTTATGACCCCATTTACCAAATGTAAATTAAAATTCAAAGAGTAAATAACAAGTTGAGTACTCATTTTTGCATAAAATTGAGCCAAAACGAAATTTGCTTAGATACACAGGTCTATCATAACTATTAGTACTGAAGGGACATTATTAGGATGCCATGAGTAAGACAGAACTCAGAAAAAAGGACATAACAATTTTTGAATATATAACAAACCAATAGGAAATATATAGGTAGATGTAAGCATATAACAAAAAGGTAGAGACATGCAAATCTTTCTCTCATTACTTTTCTTTTGTAACACCCTTTTCCTTCATATAATGGAGCAACAGTTGAGTATTCCAATATTCTTTGATTTAATTATAGAAATTGAATCATGTGCGCTTGGAAGATCAATCATGTAGTCAGGAACTTTTGATTTAAATTCTGTCTTTGGCAAATAGGCAACAGGACATTCTTTATCTTGCTCATCATACTATTACTTGACTCATTCTTATCATTAAGAGTATAACTTTCATTCCCTTATTCTAAGAACTTCTGATGGATTCAAACAAGTGTTGTTTGCAAGTTAGACACAAAACGTGTCAATCATTTTACTGTACATCATTTCTACTGGTTATGTATTTCTTCTGCTTTGTTAACCAAGTCTTTGATTGAGTCGAGGGCAATGGAGGAAAAGGGGATAAAGAATATTCAACTTTGTGATTGGGTAAGTTGAGAAGAAGTGAAATGATTCCATGTAAATTAGTCGTCCCCATCTGGTTTCACTTCGCAACTCATTGTTCCTCTCCTCCCTGAGGTTTTGTGATCATTACAGAAAGATGAAACATAAAATATTGTAGAGCTAAGAGCCTAAGACAGCGTCCAAACATGCGATTAACAAGAAACTGGTTAGGACACTAACTCTTCCCCCATATTCCCAAAGACAACATCTAATTCCGTCCTACATGATATCAATCCATTACGTGTGAAAAAGACATGATGCACTCATGTTGGACACAAAATTCAAGATTCTTTTACTTCAAAGCAACCTCAGAGGGGGTTATAGGTTTTGGGAATTAAAAAGGCAACTGGACAATTCCAAACTGATAGAATCCAAAAAATTGTACAGAAAATAACTGTTGTTGTATTAACATTGTATATTGAAATACTGAAAAGAAAAACAATGATTGAATCACAAAGAAATTAACTGAAAGACAAATGGTTGCTGAACTTTAGAGAGGTTCAACTTCTCTCCCATTTCTTACTATATTTTCTCGATGAATTGTTCGATTCCTTGCCCCTTGCTACAAATGTAAAAACAATGTATGTAAAGACAGTAATTAAATGACTGAATTCGATGTGGCCTTCTATTTCCTTAGGTGGATTTGTTCCCTTCTTGTTCTAGTGATACACGAATTGGATAGGGGGTTTATCACAAATACCTATTAGCCTATATTTCCACTTCAACCATCATCCCCACTCATAATCCCTCTACTTTTTCCAGGTATCATGTTCTCACCAACTTTTGGACATCTTAGTGTACTGTGTGCATGAGCAAGATTTGTAACTACAAAATGAGGATTCAAATTATTTTCAATTGTCATTTTCTTTTCAACAGCCAAATTGAATAGCACAAGGTGCAAACTTGACTCAATCACTAATTAATAAAAAAAAGAACTGGCTTTAAATTTCATCTTAGCACCCAGAAAACTTACTCGATTTCACATCAAATTCAACATCTAATACCCCAAAGTTAATGGTAGAATCCAATTTAAACAACATTATACTTCAACACGAAAATAGTACTCGAGGCAAATACTTAGAACACATATGTGTAAACACCTACAACACACCCAAGAAAAGAATAATTTTGTTGGCGTAGAAACCCTGTTGGTCCCGGAACTTCAAGGGAAATTTTATAATGTTCAGTGAATTTCATTTTGTTCCGAATTAATCACTTAAAGTATACATTTTGTTTCAGTTATGCCACTCTTTTAAACTGCATCTAATCTACAGCAGAAAATTCAACTGTGCACAACACTTTAACCAAAATCTCAAATCCCATATTAAAATGTATACAATAGATTAGCACTTCAAACAGAGTATCGAGAATTACTGTAAAAAGTATATCTTACCGCTCCAACGGGACTTAGGAGTGGACTCGAGAACAGCATCCAAATCATCATTTCTTGTACAAACCAAGATCGGCCCAGGAAAATCGAGTGGCACTGATTCACCTCTCTTTATCAACACATCATCACCATTGCCCATGTCCTGTAAAGCCTTACCCACGCGCCCACCACCGACAATTATGGCCGGCGCCACCACCTCTGCGGCGGTTGTAGGAGTATTAGTAGCCATGGTCGATGAATTTAATAAAGATGCTTTGATTTTGGTTTTAAAGTTGATTCTCGAAGTGGGTTTTGTACAGTGGTGCAAGAGGGAAGAGCTAGAGAGAGAAAAAGTGTTGGCCATGGCTTCCCCTTCTGCTTTGAGGGCTCATTTTTTGGATTTTCCCGGGATTTCAAAGGATTCGAGTCGAGAAGAGAACCACTCGTTTTGAAGTAACCATTATCAGAAGATTTTGGGAATTGTGGCAAATGGCCCTTTCCACAAAGAATTTTTAACCTTTTCTTTTTTCACTCTTCTTTTTTGAAGGATTTTTTTTTTTTATAGAATTTCTGTTTCTTGAAAGGTTTTGAGTTAGAAGTCGAGTTCGACCATTCAATGGGATAACTCGACCTTAAATCGAGACAAATCAATTTCACATAAAAGATCACGACTCTTGATAGAGTCAAATTGACCACAGAAATCATAGTAAAATGTATTGTAAAATAAAATTTCAATAAATAAATATTCGATAAATTAATAATTTAGCTTAAATAATAAAATTATTAAGTCCCAATTTGGGTCCATTTACTAAATTAATAACCCTGTTAAATACAAAGGTCGTTGTTATTGGTTCTTTTGATTGTTTTTTCTATTAATTTTGCGAAATTATAAAAAAATTGATACTATTATATTGTTTATCATTTAATTAGTGGATTGTTTGACCCGTAAGATGGGGCCATCAATGTTTTCCATCGGAATGTATCACGTTATATCTGATATTCATATTTTTAATCTATTAATTATATTCCGTACTCAATTAAAACTGCATAACCATAATATCAACCTGCATGTACTAGTGAGAACTATTAGAAACTGATTGTATGAAATTATGAGTGTCCATTGTCCAAAGTTATATTAGTTAAATTATTTTTAATTTATATAGATTAGAATTTATACTTGGTATCAGGGCAGGTTCACTTTTAATAAGTGTGATCTAGGAAAAATTTAGATATGGATGGAGCAACCTTTAGACCTTCTGTTCGATGCGAGTCTTTTGGTAGTGATATTTTTGCCTCACATCAATCAACTTTGCAACAATAGCTATGAAAACTCGAATTCAATTATTAGAAATAAAAACAATTTGTTTGTCATAATCAAATCATAAAGATTATAAGTCAACAATTTTCAAATTTTTTATTATGACAAACAAAGATGATTTACAACAAATTGATAAGGGATGAAAAACTTTAGATATCACATATGATTCGTATATTCACACTATCTTTTATACATATTTCCCCTATTTTATACAGGTCAAACATCTCACATTGTATATCATATATGTATATCACCTTATATGTTTTCCCCTTTTTGGCATAAGCAAAAAGTATGTAAGTAGAGATTCAAAAACACAAGTCATTCATAGATCAAAAAAGACAACTATAGTCACAAATAATAGGAAGTAAAGGTATATGTTTTCCCCTTTTTGGCATAAGCAAAAAGTATGTAAGTAGAGATTCAAAAACACAAGTCATTCATAGATCAAAAAAGACAACTATAGTCACAAATAATAGGAAGTAAAGGTCATCCATGCTGACACAAGATCTCCAAAACATAAAAACAAATTTATGCATAACAAAAGAAGTTAGATGAAGTAAGAGTGTATCAAAGACATAAATATAAAATGTAAACAAAGCTACTGCTCCGGAGGCGACGACGGAGAAAAGCGAGCGTAGAAGGCATTCTGTTGAGCTTGCATCACCATCTATTGAGCTTGAATAGCATCTTGTTGGGCTTGTATGACAACTTATTGAACTTGCAATTGGTGAATCATTTCGTCAAAGTTGTAAACAGAGGATGTAAGTGAATCAATGCACCTATTGAGGAGAATATAGCGATTTTCGGTAAACGTAAAACTACCGATCGAAGAAGGAGAAACACTAGAGCCCGAAATGTCATGCGGAGGATTTGGGACTTGTGGCACATCATCGGCATCATCATCTTCATCGCCATCAAAGGGTAGAGTGGAAGGACCCGAGGTGGGATCGAATCCTTTTGTGTGAGCCACCCATTGACCATGCTCTTACTATTTTCATACGTTTAAGAGTTTGGATATTGATGGTATTGGTAAGATAGAGTTTAACGAAGGTCTCATCATTTAAAGGAATATCAAAATGTTTAAAAAAATTTATGAGAAGTATACCATAAGGTAAAGATTTAACGTGACGAGTGGAATTGACAAGATGAGACCGAGTGCAATGGTTGGAAAATCTAATTTCCGCCCAATAAGAAAGGAATCGAGAAAAAAGATCAAAATTATTTACTTCATCTCGATGACCCTTTCGAGGAAGAATGACATGTGCAATAATGTTTTGTAAAATCTTGCATGAAAGAGTGAATTAATTTGCACTAAATTTAGTGATATTCTCTATGTTTTTCCCGGTGACTCTACGACACGTTTCGATAGGGTATATCCTTTCAAAACAGGATGAGTTTTACGAAGAAAAATTTGAGTTTCACACATTTCAAGTTCGAGAATATCTTGGAGGAGAGCTTTGTTGATGGTAATTCGAATATTTTTAAGTAAACAAGAAATTTCATCCGATCGAAGAGTAATAACCATGTTTTTTTGTGAAATTCTTTCATGAGACATGGATATGCATGTTCTTCTAATGTAGCGATTGACACCCAACCCATATTTTCAAAATATTCCTCTATGTGAAATGCGGGTGCTTCAATAGTAAAATTAGAAAAATAAATATTTTTACCTATTAAAATCGGAGATTTTTCAATAGGGTTGGTCGACACCTCATGTTCCACGTCAAAATTCTTCATCAAAGGAAGGTGGAGGTGATCGTCTCATGATATTTTAAAACCCTTTTCCCACTCTTTTAAACCTTGTCATTGTAGAAAAATTTTGTGAAAAGAGAGAACAAATTGAAAAATTTGCACTAGGATTTCGAATTTGGGGGATTTTGAATTTGTCGTGTATGAAAGTTTGAATTTTTGAGAAATATGAAGTGTAGAAGTGTTAATTTTTTTAATTAGAAAAGTAATTGATGATTAATGATGGATGTAGAGGAGATTTAGAGAGAGAAATGCGAGAGAAAGGAAAGAGAATGAGAAATAATAGAGCCTGTTACACGATTTGAAAAACGGGGATTACGTTGAACCGGACGTCCGGATTGGTAGAACTTGTTTTAGGTTGGAGTTTATGTTAAACAAGACAAGGTGTCCGGACAATCCGTTTGATGTGTCCGGATTCTACTTCTTTCCTACTGAATCAAATATAAAATAAATAATGTTATATATAGAAACATGTATGAATACATAGTATGAATTCAACTTATTTATGCACTTCGAATTTATCAATAATGTCTTCAGCTTTTCGAATATGTGAAAATCGATCAAGTGCTAAAGGTTTAGTGAAAATATACTTCGAATTTATCTCTCTTTTGTGCATGATCTCTTAAAGAGTGATGTCTAATCTCAATATACTTTGTTTGAAGTGCAAAATGGGATTTTTTTTGACAAGTTTATGGTATTAGTGTTATCACGCACGATAGGTATATGACCAAATGACAAGTGATAATCACTAAGAGTTTGTTTCATCCATAACACTTGTGCACAATAACTAGCGGCCAAAATATATTCGATTTCGACAGTAGATAATGTAACATAATTTTATTTCTTACTAAAAATTGACACAAGTAAAAAGCTTAGAAAATGACACGTCCTGCTAGTACTTTTGCGATTAATTGTCCAACCGGCCCAATCGACGTCCGAATAACTAAGTGGATCAATATGTGTTCCCTTTGGGTACCACCAGAATCCTAAGATTATAGTGTGTCTAAGATATCTTAAAATTCTTTTTATGGCACAAATGTGTAATTCTTTAGGATTTCATTGAAATCCAGCACATAAACACACGTTAAATATAATATTAGGTCTACTTGCAATTAAGTAAAGAAGGAATCTGATCATATCTCGATATTTAGTTATAGCAACAGAAATATCTTGATCATCTTTGTCCAATTTTATGGATATACTCAAAGGAGAGTTCTTTGACTTCAAGCCATTCATTTCAAACATTTTGAGCATGTCTAATATATACTTCTTTTGATTGATAAATATCTCATCACTAGTTTGCTTAATTTGGAATCCAAAGAAGAATTTTAGTTCTTCCATCATACTCATGCATTTTGAAATTTTTTCACAAAGATAGATATTAGTTGCACCAAATATAATATCATTAGCATAAATTTGAACAATCATATCGTTCTTTTAAGTTTTGACGAAAAGAGTAGTATCCGTTTTACCTATCGAAAAACCATTTAAAACTAGAAATTTGCTCAATCTTTCATACAAATCTCTAAGAGCTTGCTTTAAACTGTAAAGAGCCTTTCTATAAAATCGGGAGTTGCTCAACAAAAACTTCTTCTTGTATAAAATCATTTAGAAATACACTTTTGACATTCATTTGATAAAGAATGAATCATTTATGACAAGCAAATGTAAGAAACATGCGAATTGATTCTAATCTAGCAACCGGTGCAAATGTTTCCTCTAAATCAATAACTGCTTCTTAATTATAACATTTGGTCACTAATTTAGCATTGTTATACACAATTATCCCATTTTCATCTCATTTATTTCTAAAATCCCATTTTGTACCAATGACGGTTTGATCATTTGGTCTAGCGACTAAATCTCAAACATGATTTCTTTCAAATTGATTTAATTCTTCTTGCATAACTAGAATCCAAAATTCATCAAACTCGGCTTCCTTGAAAATTTTTAGTTCAATTTGCGAAATAAAAACACAACTATTTAGATGATTTCTAGTAGGAGCTCTAGTTGTAATACATTTGGATTAATCACCAATAATTAATTCTTTTGGATGAGAAAGAACAAACCTCCATTCTTTTGGTAGAGAATCTTCATTTTGTACTTTAGTAGGTTCTTCTTAACTTCTTTAAAGTTTGCTTCCTCCTTGTGTTCATCTTTTGGATCTTCCTTATTTTGATCTT